GAGAGGAACATTGATCAGCTGCCTCCTGCACCTCCCCCCCCACTGGGGATGTGCCCGCAACCAAGGTCCATGCCCTTGACCGGAATTGAACCTGGGACCCTTGAGTCTGCAGGCCGACGCTCTATCCACTGAGCCACACTGGTGAGGGCTATACCCACCACTTTTTGAGAAAGCGAAGGTCCGAGGGGTTACGTTGAGGAAATGACGGTGGTCCCAGAGGCGGGCCCAGGCAGGAAGGATGTTATAAAAAACCATGTTGAACCTCTCCAAGCGCCTTCCCGTCCATGTCAAGTTCTTCGGATGGCGCCCTGGTCCGTCGGAGCTTCTAACACCCGGGTGTCTGTTGCAGCCCAGAGCAAGGTGGCTGGCAGCCAGGAGAGCACTAATTTGGGATGTATTTTCTGTGGTAAGCTACGTTCTGTTTACATTCCTCTTCCCACGCCGTGCTTACATACCGATCGCACATCTCCATCCCTTTCCTTTCCTGAGGGCCATGGGCTGGCTTCGTGGTTTCTGGGGAAATGCAGCCAGCTCCCTTTTTTTGTTCTTGTTTTTTCTTTATGTCATGATATTTGTTGTGGGTCACTTAAGGCTATTCGGTCAGGTTTTGTGTTTTTAAAAATATATTTTATTGATTTTTTTACAGAGAGGAAGAGAGAGGGAGAGAGAGTTCGAAACACCGATGAGAGAGAGTCATCCATCAGCTGCCTCCTGCACACCCCCCACTGGGGATGTGCCCGCTACCAAGGTCCATGCCCTTGACCAGAATCGAACCTGGGACCTTTCAGTCCACAGGCTGATGCTCTATCCACCAAGCCACACCGGAGTCGGCTCCGGTCAGCTTTTGAATTGGCATCCCTGCGTAGCAAGGATTTATTTAGAATCGGGATCTTAAAGCTTAACTCCAACGAAAGTGGTTTTTTTTGTTTGTTTGTTTTTTCGTTTTCATTGTTAACTATTTCGTTGGAGAGCGGTCTTTTCATTTGGGACGTAAGGGGGAAATGACATCCATCTTCCTATGATTTGGGGGATGTCCACGTGCCTTCTGGGGAGGGAGCTTCTGCTGAACTTGACTTTTTAAGGTGTGCAGGTTACCAGGCCCGTATGAGCTCTTGCCTGCTTTGGTAGGCGGATTTCTGACCCAGCGGCCTCCTTTGATTGGGTAGGGTAGGTATTTGTGGCTTAGGCGTGAGTTTAGGCGTTATGGGGTGCTTTCTGTCCCTCTCCTATTCACAAGCGTGTGCATATATGTATATGTCACGTAGCCACCCCGAATTCCAGTTCATCAGATACACGCATATCCATCCTTATCCTTACCCAGGCTGTATCTACACACACACACACACACACACACACACACCCCTACACTTGTCTGACTTCTTTTTATCCTCATTTGATTCTAAAAACTTTCTGTTTTGGAAACCCAAGTTCAGAAGGCAACTTTCAAATTTTAGAGCTTGCTTTTTTTTATTTTAATTATCTTTTTTTTTTTTTGACTTCTGTATACCTGGCCAGATTTTTAAATGAGAGATAAAATTATAAAATGATATACTGCTAAGTTTTTATACCAACAGTTCAACTGTGCACATAGGTACTTTACCCTTGTGACTCAAAGTTTTTGATGCGATTCTTCAGTATTCCTGGCATTGTTTCTTTACTTATGAAGAGAATCATTTTAAAATTTACTACGTATTTGTGCTGGTTTTGGCCAAGAAACGTGTGTCATGAATTTCCAAAAATGAAAAAAAATTCAAGTGTGTTTCTTGTTATATATTATATATATATATATATATATATATATATATATATATATATATATACTTTATTGATTTTTTTACAGAGAGGAAGGGAGAGGGATAGAGAGTTAGAAACATCGATGAGAGAGAAACATCGACCAGCTGCCTCCTGCACACCCCTTAACTGGGGATGTGCCCGCAACCAAGGTACATGCCCTTGACCGGAATCGAACCTGAGACCCTTGAGTCCGCAGACCGACACTCTATCCACTGAGCCACACCAGTCAGGGCTCCTGTTATATTTAATGATTGGCCTGTTTGGCTCTTTATAAATCCCCCCATTTCCCCTCAGAATCCACAGTTTTTGCAGATTAAGTTTCATCAGTAACTTTAAAGTCTGAATTTCTCTGCCTCCTCTGGATTTCTCCTAGGCCCTCTTTTGAACGAGCCATGGACGATTATTCGTATTTGTGTTTTTAGGACTTTAGTCTTTCTGGAAAACCTACTCCATGTTCTGTACTTGCTACTGAGTATGTTGAGTTCCCCCTGCAGAATAATAGAAAATAGTGCATTTTACCCAGTTGTAGACAGAAGATTGATCTAACCTTAATCGACGTTGGTTTTTGTTTTTGTTTTTTAAGTTGTAAAATCGTGTTAAAAAGCAGATTTCACCCCCATTATTAACTTGAATGGTTACAAACAATATAATTTTTGTTTGGCTAAGCTTAAACTCGATTGTATTGTGTATAATCACACCTATTTGTCTTTTGGCCCTGCGTTTTGAAGGAAGCTGTGGCTAAGTGTGAGATGATATTCGTGAAAATGAAAATGGTGTAGTGAGTACAATGTGCTTTTAGCCAGAACCCCGTATCGAAGTCAAGACTGATCTGCCATGCATTCGTTCCTGGCTCAGAGAGAGATTTTGCTCTGACTTCCATCATTCGTACAATACCATTTCAGCGACACGGACACCTTTTCTTTATTAGAAATCGTAATTCACATGCTTTGCTATATGAATTCTAGCCAGGAAAAAATTAAGATCAACCATTGAGGTTTGGATGGTGGTAATAAGAGAGAAAACTAACCCTCAAATAGCTATTCTTTTATGATAATATTAGAGGCCTGGTGCATAAAATTCGTGCACTGGGGGAGGGAGGGTTGTCCCTCAGCCCAGTCTGCACCCTCTCCAGTCTGGGGTCCCTTTCACAATCCAGGACTGCTGGCTCCCAACTGCTCATCTCCCTGCCTGCCAGCTTGATCACCCGCTAACCACTCCCCTGCCAGCCTGATCGATGCCTAACTGCTCCCCTGCGAGCCTGGTCGCCCCTAACTGCCCTCCCCTGCTGGCCATCTTGTGGTGGCCATCTTGAGCGAGGGCATGAGGGTCAATTTGCATATCACCTCTATTATTATATAGGATCGTAGGAACGAGCAGTGATCTCTGTTCTCTCTCTCTCTCTCTCTTTTTTTTTTTTTCCAAAAGAGAACTGTTAACCCACACATGATGCTCCTAACACATTTTCCTTTGCCCACTGGTTAGGGAGGGACCTTGTCTGCAGTCTGGCGGGGGGGGGACACAGACCCCCCATGTAGGAATATTGTGCAGGAAGTGATGGTTATGTTCCAGGAAAGAAATACAGCAGCCGCCGACCAGCCTCGCCTGGTCCTTAGTGGCTGCTTCCTGTTGCGTGTTGGTGCCTTGGGTAGATCTTTGAATTGTCTAACCCAGCAGAGAAGGCTGGGCGAGGAGGTGACATACCGTTGTGTACCTGAAGTTTGTCACTCACCTGGAACTCTGTTATCTCACGTGATGACGTATTTATACCATTTCTAAATGCACATGGACGTCCATGTGCGCGCAATTGGGGCTTGACAAAATTGATGATGAGAAAGCAAACACAACCCCCCAGATGGAGTATAGATATGGGGAAATGGCAAGGAGAACCCTTACCCTCTCTTGCCCCCATAAAAATGTGTGTTAAAGAGAGGAGGAAAAAATAAGTAGGTAAGTTCAGATCAAATTATTGTGTTGTTTTTTGGTTTTTTTTTTTTAGAATTTATTATTATGTATGACGTTTGAATGAGCCTCATTCTCCTGGTTGGGAAGTTTACTCCCCTAGTATAAAATACTTCATGCTGTGACTTCGTAGATGATAAGCATTTACTTGAGAAGAACTTATTAACTTTTTTTTTTTTTTTAATACTAGTGGTTTCCGAAACACTTTTAAAACACCTGCTTAGGGGCGCTTGCTGGCACACGAGCTCATAGACATGTACAGCATGTCATTACCCATATATGTCTCCCCAAGAGTGGAAGATAAACTGCTTCTTTATTCTCTTGTGTAATGGATTCGATCTCAAAACGGGTCTGTTGTAACCCTCGGCATTTATCTCATGTTGTGACACATTTGGACAGAGACATGAAAACGTCCTGTAATTTAGTGGCATTCTGGACCGGATGCTAAACATAGGTCTGCCCTGTCCATGACAAGGAAGGATGGATGGCCATTACGGTTTCTCATGGCAGAAGCATGCGGATTCGAATGCGGGGCTGGCTTGTGTTTTTGCTTCGTTTTGTTTTTGTTTTGTTTTTTTAAACGCCCCAGGTGAAAAGTGTGATGACCTCTGTTGCATTAAACATCCTGACAAATAGGTTAATTATATATTAAGCTTAGCCAACATTTTGTTTTCATTTATTTTATTTTATTATTTTATTTTTTACCGGTGCTCAATGCCAGGCCATTGAAACGAGAAGGGTAACTTTTACTGAGCACGTTTTATAACTGCGCTAGTCTGTATCCGTCTAGTAAGAAGGTTCTCACACACACTCTCTCTCTCTCTCTCCTGTTTTTCATTTCCAGTGTTCTATTTAGGTGAGTTTTGAATTCTGATTTTTTATTTTTTTGAGTTCTCCACTTCATGAGCCACTTCTCCTGGGAAAATGTGTCATTGTCTTCGAAATGTCAAGCTTAGGTGCCTACCCAGCTGCCCATTGAACTTTGCTCTTCATATATAAATGTCCATTTCCCCATTCATCGTTTCAAAGCAAGGCTTTGGGTGTGGTGACAGAATGACGTTTGCAGTCTCCCATTGGCTGTTGTGTGACGGGAAGCTTATGCCTTATTTTGCTAAGCCACCAGAAGATGCATCTGTAGATACGTGATGGCTTTTGTGTTATTCTCATGCTTTTGCCTCTAGCCGGCTAACTACTACCGAGATGATGTTTACCTATAATGTGGTTTTCTTCCCCTCCCTTTTTTTTAGGGCCAACCTTGCCTAGACACAATTCACAACTACCTGCCCAAGTGCAAAATGGCCCGTCCCAAGAAGAATTGGAAATTCAAAGGAGGTAAATTTTTACCAGTTCTTGTGTATGCTTCTTCATTCGACTGTGTAGAATTTTCGCTAAAAATCAATGAAACTCCAAACGTCCTCATCTTAAAAACTGATGATCTCTCATTAGTCACTCGGAAGTCAAAGATTTTATCGTCACATCATTCAGTTTTGTAGTCACCAGCGATACAAGAGAAGATCCTTATTACGCTGGACAACAGATGTTAAGATGGTGATAATTTCCTCTCCACTTCATTGTCAACGTCATACTGGTGTAGGTTTAAATATTTTAAACAGCGTGAGCATGTCTTGCACCTCCGAGAATTTTATTTTTAAAGTAGCTGTAAATTAATTTGTGGCTTTCACAGGACTAGGTGAACTAGAAAGTTGAAACAGTGCTGGCCATTGGTAGAAGGCATTGAACTTGAGAGGCTACCGTCAGGCATGGCAGTGATATACATAAAGCTAATGTGTTTATGACGAAACTGCCGGTGGAGTGAGATCCATAACGTGATCTTCACTCTTTCAGTGCAGTTTTTAAAATACACTAGAAAGAGTGAGCACAACTGCTGAACGGTAAGCTGTTTTATAACAAAGTTTTCTGGAATTCAGATAGAGTCGGGAAGTGACGCTGAGCTAGTCCAACCACGTCCCATTTTATTTTATTTTATTTTTTAATATAGTTTATTGATTTTTTACAGAGAGGAAGGGGGAGGGAGAGAGAGTTAGAAACATCGATGATGACAAAGGATCATTGATCGGCTGCCTCCTGCACCCCCATTCCTGGGGATCTAGCCCACAATCAGGGCATGTGTCCTTATCGGAATCAAACCCAAGATCCTTTAGTCCGCAGGCTGACGCTCTACCCACTGAGCCAAACACGCTAGGGCGCATATTGAGAGTTTTACACATACCTGAGTAATTCCAAGAGTTAGGAACACATAGACACATAGCTACACACCACATACTATACACCACAGACACTGCTCACACACACACACACACACACACACACACACACACACACACACCACAGACACCACACCCACACACGTACACATACCCACACACCACACACACCCACATATCACACACCACACACACACACACACACACACACACACCGCAGACACACACACACACATACACACACATACACCACAGACACCACACCCACACACGTACACATACCCACACACCACACACCCACATACCACACACCCACATACCACACACCACACACACACACCACAGACACCACACCCACACACGTACACATACCCATACACCACACACACCACACACACACACACACACACACCACAGACACCACACCCACACATGTACACATACCCACACACCACACACACCCACATACCACACACCACACACACACACACCACAGACACCATAGCCACACACATACACATACCCACACACCACACACATCCACATACCACACACCCACATACCACACACCACACACACACACACACACACACACACGCCAGGAAAGCAATAAATAAAACATGATAGTCTTAAAACATTTAGAAAACTCGGAAGAGCCCAAACCATAAAATACATAATTTCGGTTAAGACGCCGTGGCAAGCCGGTAATCGGAGCCAGTGGCTCAGGCCAGGGCGATGTGGGGTAGAAACAGACACCTCGGAGGACGGCTGGCTCCGGGGTCACAGGTGGGTGATCCCCGCGGAGGGCTGCCAGGAGCCTGCGGCGGGTGCGGGCGGCCTTAGCTGGACGTGAGCATCGGTGTGAGCATCAGTGCGGTCCCAGGCGTTGCTATGGAGACCCCGTGCCTCTTAGATGCTCTGTCTCCAGCAGCTCTCGTCTGGGCTCCGGGCTTTTCTGTTCCCGCGTAAGTCGATCCCTGAGGGTTTGAGAATCAGAGATGTTGTGTGTGTCACCTGCTGGTCCCAGTGGAGGCCGGAGCGTGGTCCTTGTGAAGAGTGGAGTCCCACCTTTCTGAAAAATGGGTGTGGGTTTTTTCTAAGTTCCTCTCTGTCCACAGACTCTCCCTCCTTGTAGGCAACCCTTCCAGACCAGTGTATCGCCCTCTCCATTCTCGTTTCATCTCGACTCCTTCACTCTCCACCCATCTCCTTTTTAATCTCTTTTTAAAAAATACATTTTATTGATTTTTTACGCAGAGGAAGGGAGAGGGATAGAGTTAGAAACATCGAGGAGAGAGAAGCATCCATCAGCTGCCTCCGGCACACCCCCCACCGGGGATGTGCCCGCAACCAAGGTCCATGCCCTTGCCCGGAATCGAACTTGGGACCCTTCAGTCCGCAGGCCGACACTCTATCCAATCTCAACGAAATTCGTTTTGTGTCTCCCACAAATCTATGGGACATGCTGCTTCCCTTACAGGTCAAATTTTCTGCCTTTTCCCCAATACGTTGGTCTCTCTTCTTTTTGCTAATTCTTCCCCTTTCTATTCTTTATTTAATGTTTGTACCTCTTTTTCTCTCTCTATGTGAGGCCTTGCACTTAGCTCTCCTTTCTCTCCCTGGACACAGTATACCCTTTGAAAAATTAATGATTGGGTTGGATGTGGTTGTTCTCTCTTAACTCTTTTATGCTAGTGGCTGCCAGACCTCTAGCTCCTGCCGTGATCCTGCACATGAGGTCCAGACCCGTGTTTGCCGCTAAATGCTGTAGGCGTGGGTCCTTAGGAGAATTTGGTGAAAGCAGGAGACTACTGCCCACTTCTGTCCGGCCCCCAACCCTTTGTGTGTGTGTGTGTGTGTGTGTGTGTGTGTGTGTGCGCGCGCACAGGCACGCAATTATATGCAAATCTGCATACTGTTTCAGACGGTCACAGACCCCCTGGCATTCAACAGTGAGAATTCCTACGTAGAACTCATCTGTTTGGGTTCCTACTGACACCTCCGTTTAACACTTATGATTTCGTTCTTTTCTTTTTTTTAATTTGTTTTACAGAGAGGAAGGGAGAGGGATAGAGAGTTAGAAACATCGATGAGAGAGAGAGACCTGGATCAGCTGCCTCCTGCACACCCCCTACTGGGGATGTGCTCGCAACCAAGGTTCATGCCCTTGACCGGAATGGAACCTGGGACCTTTCAGTCCGCAGGCCGATGCTCTATCCACTGAGCCACACTGGCCAGGGCTGCCAATCCCTTTTCAGTAGTAACACTGCGATCGCGCAGTTCAGTTTCCTGCTCCTCTGAGTGTGATCTCTAATGCCCGTTTTTGATTCCTGCTCCTTCGTATTTGGCGTCCTTGGCTGACTGTGGCGAAGAGGCATATTCTGAGACACGTGAGTCAGTTCTGTGTCAGGCTCCGCGTACAACTTCATTGAGTTCATGCCTATAAATAGCTCGCCCGTCACCCCCGCTACCTGCCCGTTATAAAGGGGGAGCAGCGATCTCCGCCCAGACGCAGCAGGGAAGCCGGAGCCATGAAGGTGTACAGATCCCAGTTTAGCCTTCAGAGGCAGGATGGACCCAGAGTCGACCGCCTTCTCTTGTAAGTGTGGTCCCTCGTCCCTTGTTCCGGGAGTTTTCTTTTTTAAAAAAAATATATTTTATTGATTTTTTACAGAGAGGAAGGGAGAGAGCTAGAGAGCTAGAAATGTCGATGAGAGAGAAACATCGACCAGCTGCCTCCTGCACACCACCTACTGGGGATGTGCCGGCAACTAAGGTACATGCCCTTGACCGGAATCGAACCCGGGACCTTTCAGTCCGCAGACCGATGCTCTACCCACTGAGCAACACCGGCTTCGGCTGTTCCGGGAGCTTTCTAATACCAAAGCGTAACTGTCTCATTTATATTATCTTTTTCCGACCTGTTAGGGGAGAGGGGGGAGGGGGGAGATGTTGATTGCACGCGCTCCATCACTTTGTGTTTGAGTCAGGAATGAAGGGCAGCCCTGGCCAGTTTGGTTCAGTGGATAGAGCATCTGCTCGTGGGCTGAGGGGTCCCGGATTCTATTCCGGCCAAGGGCACATGCCTGGGGGTTGCGGGCTCTTGAGGCAGCCGATCAATGATTCTCTCTCATCGATGTTTTTCTCTCTCTCTAAAATCAATACAAAATAATTTTAAAACAAGAAGAAACAAAGTGCACATTAGGTTCATCGCAAAAGAAATAGGATTTTCATGAGTCGCCATAGATGCCTGTTTTATTTTTTTATTTTATTTGTTTATTATTAATTTCTTTATTGATTAAGATATCACATATTTGTCCTCAACCCCCCATTCCAGTCTCCCCCACACACACACTGATGCCCCCACCCCCCTATTGTCCTTGACCACGGGTTAGGCTCCTAAGGGGGCACATAAGTCCTTTGGCTGATCTCTCCCTTTTATCCCCACCCTCCCTCTGAGGTCCAGCAGTCTGACCCAGGGCTCCTTCTTTCTGGGTCTGTCCTTGATCATCCGTCTGTGGTGTTCACCATTTGCCCCAGATGAGTGAGATCATGTCCTACTGGAGATATACGAATCAAAAATGAGACAAGCAATAATCGCTGTGCTGAAAGGCATATGAATCCGTCTGTAGTGAGCTTTTCTGGGCCACCAGTTCTTTTGAGACCCCATTTCAATGTCAAACAGCTCCTTGCGTGCGCATGTCAGCATGTGTACAGTTCTGGATGATGGGCAAATGGTGGTGACGCAGGTCCGACCCTCTCTCTCTCTGGGCGCCTGTTTTAAAATAGTGTTTTATTTTATTTCTTGGTTTCAGGCAACTTCAAGAGCAGCAGCGGCAGAAGGAGCTGGAGCGGGAGAGGCTGGAGCGAGAGAGGATGGAGAGGGAGCGGTCCGAGCGGGAGCGGCTGGAGCAGGAGCAGCTGGAGAGAGAGAGGCAAGAGCGGGAGCGGCAGGAGCGGCTGGACAGGCTGGACCGCGAGCGCCAGGAGCAGCGGGAGCGCCAGGAGCAGCTGGAGAGGGAGCAGCAGCTGGAGTGGGAGCAACGGGAGCGGAGAGCCACCGGTAAGACGCCCGGGCTCTTGGCCTTGGCCTCTGAGCGTGGACGGCGGGTGGGGGATGCCGGGTGGGTGTTGGAATATGGGGCGGGGACTCGGGATGAAGCCGTGAGGTTGGGAATTAGGAAACGTACCCGGTGGCTGCTTCCCCATTTTCCTCTTTATTCCTCTCTGCTGCTTTTTTTTTTTTTGCTTTGGAGCCTTAACGAAAGCTCTTGGAAACCTGCATCCTGGCGTTCGAATTCTTCCAACTCCCCCATCCGTTGGCCATAAAGTAGAAGTGTTTTTTTTTTTCTTTTCTTTTTTTTTTAACGATATATTTTATTGATTTTTTTTTTTTTACAGAGAGGAAGGGATAGAGAGTTATTATAGAAACATCAGCTGCCTCCTGCACACCCCCTACTGGGAATATGCCCGTAACCCAGGCACATGCCCTTGACCGGAATCGAACCTAGGACCTTTCCGCCCGTAGGCTGACGCTCTATCCGCTGAGCCAAACCAGTTTTGGCCAGAAGTGTTTCTTATGAAATTTTTTATAGCTGGGGGGAGCGTGGCCTGTATATCCCTCTCGGGGTCGCTTACACGGCCTCGGATGCTTTAGGATTTCAGTGCTGTTCAGCACGATTGTATTCCTAAGGCTTTGAGGGAGGAATGAAAAGCAGTAGGCGGGAAAGAATCCTCTCTCCAACGGGCTAGTTAGGTTTCAGTATTTTTTAAAAAATATATATATATTTTATTGATTTTTTACAGAGAGGAAGGGAGAGAGAGAGGTAGAAACGTTGATGAGAGAAACATCCATCAGCTGCCTCCTGCACACCTCCCCACTGGGGATGTGCCCGCAACCCAGGCATATGCCCTTGACCGGAATCGAACCTGGGACCCTTCCGTCCGCAGGCTGACACTCCATCCACTGAGCCAAACCGGTTTTGGCCCAAAATCAGGACTTTTTTTTTTTAAAACGCCGTGGGACTCGGGACAAATTGTTAAAAATCGGGTCTGTCCCGCCCAAAGCAGGACACCTGGACGCCTTATTTAAAAAGGAACAAACAGCTGAAACCGCTGTGGCTCAGTGGATAGAGTGTCGGCCTGCGGACTGAAAGGTCCCAGGTTCGATTCCGGTCAAGGGCATGGACCTTGGTTGCGGGCACACAACCCCAGGAGGGGGTGTGCAGGAGGCAGCTGATCGATCTCTCATCGATGTTGCTAACTCTCCCTCTCCGTTCCTCTCTGTAAAAAATCAACTTAAAAAATAAAAATAAAATAAAAAAAAAAGAAACAAACAAAAAAAAACCAGTTGAACTTATTTATCTGTTTATGGTCCTTCCTTGTCCAATTGTAACGCCCCTTTTGGAGGACCGAGGAAGGAGAAGGCAGAAGGCAGGGACTGAGTTTCCCTTGTGAAGGGCAGGCTCACTCGGGCTTAGTGCCTCCGCCTGCTAAAAACCGTTATCTCCCCCTCCTCCGGGGCCCAGGATATGGGGGAGGGGGGGAGGGGGACAGCCCCCCGCGCCCGTGTCTCTGTACTGTGTGTGTACACCGTGTCCGGGTGCTGGTTTTGTGGCTTCACTGGCTCCTTTTTCTCTCTCCTCTCTGGTCCTGTCTCTCGCTGCCGCTCTACCCACCTCTGTCCAGCGCCTCCTTCCGACAGCTCCTCCCCGCATGGCGGGCCACCTCCTCCCGACGGGGCCAGTGGCCAGCCTCCTCCTCCGGCACCTCCTCCTCCGCCCGGGGCCACTCCTGATTACCCCGGAGTGACCGCTCCGCCGCCCGCCCCCCCCACCCCGCCCCTGCGCCACCCGGCCGCCACCCGCTTCGCCACCTCCCTGGGGTCCGCCTTCCACCCCGTCCTCCCCCACTACGCCACGGCCCCGCGCCCCCTGAGCAAAAACTCGCAGCCTTCCTCTCCCGTGAGCGGCTCCCCCTCCTCCTCTCAGCCCCCAGCCGCCCCCGCCAAGCCCTGTGGCTGGTCCGCGTCCAGCTTCTCGCCCCTGCCCCCGTCCCCCCCGGTCATGATCAGCAGCCCCCCGGGCCGAGCGGCGGGTCCCAGGCCCGTCCTCCCCGTGTGCCTGTCCTCGCCGATGCCCCCGTCCCCGACGGACCCGGCCCCCCACCCCGCGTTCCCGCCGCCTACCTCGGGGCCAGCGCCGCCGCCGCCCCTCCTGGCACCGCTGTCGCACTGTGGACCGCCCGCCTCGCCTCCGCCGCCGCCGCCTCCGAGCGCCCCTGTCGCCTCGCCCCCCTCGTCCAAGCCTAGCGTTCTCCCTTCTCCCTCTGCAGCTGCCCCCGCCTCTGCGGAGACCCCTCTAAACTCTGTGCTGGGAGACTCCTCTGCTTCTGAGCAGCCAGGCTTGCAGGCAGCCTCTCAGCCGGCCGAGACGCCAGCCCCACCGGGTAAGGCCCCCCGCGCTCGCTGCCAACCGCTGGGACCGACCGCCCAGTGGGCTGGGGAGGGGGGTGTTGATGGTGGCCAAAGCACCATCGCTGTAGGGCAGGGCGCCATCTCTGTAGGCCAGGGCGCCATCGCTGTAAGCCAGGGCACCATCGCTGTAGGCCAGGGCGCCATCGCTGTAGGGCAGAGCGCCATCGCTATAGGCCAGGGCGCCATCGCTGTAGGCCAGGGCGCCATCGCTGTAGGCCAGGGCACCATCGCTGTAGGCCAGGGCACCATCGCTGTAGGCCAGGGCGCCATCGCTCTAGGCCAAAGCACCATCGTTGTAGGCCAGGGCGCCATCGCTGTAGGCCAGGGCGCCATCGCTGTAAGCCAGGGCACCATTGCTCTAGGCCAGGGCGCCATCGCTGTAGGCCAGGGCGCCATCGCTGTAGGCCAGGGCACCATTGCTCTAGGCCAGGGCACCATCGCTGTAGGCCAGGGCGCCATCGCTGTAGGCCAGGGCGCCATCGCTCCAGGTCAGAGTACGCGTGTAAAGTGGCTTTGTCTTCTGTCGGGTGAACTGCCTGTGGCGGACCCGCCCCGGGATGCCCTTGCTGGACTAGACGTTGGCATCGTCAGCGGGACCGCACTTTGCCAGGGTCTAAGGGCCTCCTCCTCCTCCTCCTGCTTTTCCGTTTCACCCAGAAAGCACGGCGGGCCACGCCGGCGGGCGGTGCACAGTCGCCGTGTGACCTGCCTCGTCTTCTTCTCGTTTCTGGGAGACGGGGAGAGGTGGTCGGTGCCCGGCTGTAGGTGTTCCCTGTAGCATCCTAAGGCCGTGGTCGGCAAACTGCGGCTCGCGAGCCACAGGCGGCTCTTGGGCCCCTTGAGCGTGGCTCTCCCACAAAACACCACGGCCTGGGAGAGTCTGTGTTGAAGACGTGGCATTTGAAGAAGTTTACGTTTAAAAAATGTGGCTCTCCAGAGACATGTCCGTCGTTGTCCTGTGGATAGTTGGCTCTGTGGACTCATGAGTTTGCCGGCCACTGTCCTGAGGTGGTCTCTGCAGCAGCCCCGGTCTCGCTCGGATCCTGTTTCATCTCAGTCTTTTTTTCCTGAGTTGGGGTCCCCCCATAACCACTGGACTTCCAGGGGTGGTGCTCCCCTGACCCCCGCAGAGCAGCCTGGCTTTGCAGGGCGGGTGGAGAGCACGGCAGGCTTGCTGTCTGCCCCAGAGTTCCATGGTCCAGAGTGAACGGAAGTAGCAGGCTAACGGGATAGTTGAGAGAGAGGAGCATCGTCTAGCCGAATCCTTCACTTCAGTGATTCTCTGTATTCTCGCCACGCTGGCATGCGATGTGGAATAACTGAAGATGTTGATGCCTGGGACCCACTGACCATTCTGTTCCCAGGCTAGCCACGTTGGCTGTCTGTTGTACAAGTCAGTATACACGGAGTGGCCAGATGATGATCTCTGAGCGCATCATCATCTGGCCATTCGGTGTCTATCCTATAGAATAAAAGGCTAATATGCAAATTGTCCCCTGGACCAGGAGTTCGACCAGCAGGCAGGCCGGCCCACCGCCCATGTCCCCTACCCCCTGGCCAGGCTGGCCGGACCCCACCCATGCACGAATTCATGCACCGGACCTCTAATAAATATATACACTGAGTGGCCAGATTATTTATGCGTTCAGAGATCATCATCATCTGGCCACTCAAGAGTGTATTTCTTTGCTCTTGTAGAATTCATTGACCATTAAGCTTACACAGGTTACGTGGGGTCTGGTATTTCAAATAGTACTGACAGCCGTCATATACATTGTTTGTTGTTGTTTTTTGTGGCTGCCTCCCTTCCACATCGTATAAGCATTTATTCTGTTTACTAAATCCCCACGAACAAAAAAGAGATTCTCACGAGGCGATCCATGGCATAGTTCTATTATTAAAGCTCCCGTCCCCTAGTCAGTCGTGACGCCCTGTGGCTGTACATGCTAGGATCGTTTTATTTTTTTATTTTTATTTTTTTAATACTAGTATTCTTCAATGACTACTATTCCCATTAACTTTTTAAAAAAATATATATTTTATTGATTTTTGTACAGAGAGGAAGGGAGAGAGATAGAGAGCTAGAAACGTCGATGAGAGAGAAACATCGACCAGCTGCCTCCTGCACAACCCCTCCCGGGGATGTGCCCGCAACTAAGGTCCATGCCCTTGACCGGAATCGAACCTGGGACCTTTCAGTCCGCAGACCGACGCTCTATCCACTGAGCCACACCGGCTTCGGCGCTAGGATCGTTTTAATACTCACGTAGACTTCCACCGTGACAGTAAACCAAAGTCCTTCATGATGTAGCGAATGTTTGGGGCCGCCTGTTCAGTTTGGCATGACGGGTCCTCACTGGGTGCTGTCCCGGGGCGCTATTGCTGATGGCTGACGGTCTCATTGTGCCTCTCTCTCTCTCTCTCAGGCATTGCCTTGGGACCACCTGCACCCCCACCCCCTCCTCCACTCCCCCCAGGCCCTGCCCAGGCTCCAGGGGCACTGCCTCCTCCCCCCGGACCGCCCCCTCCTCCTCCACTGCCAGCCTCGGGGCCTCCGCCTCCCCCTCCGCCACCCCCTCTCCCCAACCAGGCGGCCCCTCCTCCCCCGCCGCCCGCCCCGCCGCTCCCCGCCTCTGGATTTTTTGCGGGATCCGGGTCCTCCGAAGACAATCGCCCGCTGACGGGACTGGCAGCGGCCATCGCCGGAGCAAAGCTTAGGAAAGTGTCCCGGGTAAGTGCGACTCCAAATGATTGTATTTGTTTTTGGTTTTGTTTTTGTTTTATGTCTGTCTCGTTCTTTCTCGGCGTCTGAAGGACTGGCTTTCTTGATACTCTGATGTTACGAACGCTAAGTTCATAGCTTCATTCATTTAAAAAAAAAATGGAGCTGAGACTGCTTTGGCTCAATGGATAGAGCATCGGCTTGGCGACTGAAGGGTCCCGGGTTCGATTCCGGTCAAGGGCATGTACCCTGGTTGCAGGCATATCCCCAGTAGGGGGTGTGCAAGAGGCAGCTGGTCGATGACTCTCTCATCGATGTTTCTAACTATCTCTCTCCCTTCCTCTCTGTACAAATCAATAAAATATATTTTTTTAAAAATGGAAAGAATTTAAATTGACGGGAAAGTTGTGAGAATCATACAGCTTCTGAGAACCCACTACCCAGACTCGCCAGTTAACCTCTGTTTCTTTTACTCTTTTCTCTGTGTGTGTGTGTTTTATTTTATATGTACATGTAGGTACACACACACACACACATTTTTTTTTTTTGGTCTGAATTGTGAGTAAGTCTGGGATAACCAGGCCCCTATTTCCCTAATTGCCTCACTGAACAAGGACATTTCCCCACAGGCCCACATGTAATTATCCAAATCCTGTTGTCGCTGGAATACTACAGATCTGTTGTCCAGTAATGTCTTCTGTGACAATTTTTTTCTAGCCCAAGACCACCACCCATTTCATGATACTTACTTTTTAAAAATATATATTTTTATTGATTTCAGAGAGGGAGGGATGGAAGGAGGGAGAGAGAGGAGAGAGAGAGAGAGAGAGAGAGAGAGAGAAAGAAACATCAATGATGAGAGAGAATCATGGGTTGGCTGCCTCCTACACACCCCCTACTGGGATCGAACTTGTAACCCAGGCATGTGCCCTGACTGGGAATCGAACCGTGACCTCCTTCCAGGTTCATAGGTCAACTCTCCACCACTGAGCCACGCCGGCTGGGACACACTGACATTCTGACAGCGATAAAACCATCCTCGTTTGGTTCATCTGATGTTTCCTAAGGACTAGATTCAGGTTATGTGTTTTGAGGCAGACTTTTTTTTTTTTTTTTTTTTACCACCAAAGTACTATGTCCTTTTCGGCGTATCACACACACGGATACATGACATAGGTTCCCCACGTTTAGTGTTGTTAACGCCGAGAAAGCTTCTGTTGCTCTGTAAGTCCAGACGGTTCACCCCCATGGGTTCTTAAGAAGATTCCAGAATAGATGTTTGATGGAAGTGATGGCTGCTGTAGTATACTGGTTTGAATGTAATAGAACGGCAAAGCGCTGTATTCCTTAACCCAGGAGTTGACCATGTATGTATGTATGTTTGTTTCGTTAAGATGGAGGATGCCTCTTTCCCGAGTGGGGGCAGTGCCGTCGGTGTGAACTCGGCCTCATCCAAAGCGGACACGGGGCGTGGGAACGGACCCCTCCCTCTGGGGGGCAGCGGTTTAATGGAGGAAATGAGTGCCCTGCTGGCCAGAAGGTAAGGGTGCAATTTACTCGCAATTCAAGACAAAAAAAGTGGACGTGCCCAGAAATGAGAATATTTTCTTAATTTCCTCTCAGATATGTAATTTATCTTGATGCGGTTCTTTCCCTGTTGGGAGTAGTTTTTATACTAAGAGATATTATTATTATTATTATTTTTTAAATCCAATTTACCTTCTTTCTAGGAGGAGGATTGCGGAAAAGGGATCAACCATAGAAGCAGAACAAAAAGAGGACAAAAGTGTAAGTGACTAAAGGACCCGGGAGTGTGAGGCTGAAGCTCAGCTCCTACAGGAAATCCTGGCCAAGATCGGTGCGAACATCACGTGAACTTAAGATGGCTTCTTTTTTTTTCAGTCTTCAGGCAGTAAAATAGCTTAAACATGTTTAATGACGTTCCTAGTAAGATGTGTTGACTACCCAGAGTGGTGGGGGATGCCCTAGGTTCATGTCTGTGGCGTTGGTGTCTTCACCACGGCGATAACGCAAATGTCCCACCTCTCTCCCGGCCACTGGTGCCCACATATGCAAATTAAGCGACCATCTTTGTTGGGTTCATTTGCATACTCGTTCCTGATTGGCTAGTGGGTGTCGTGACGGTATGGTCAATTAGCATGTTCCTCATTTATTGGGTAGGTGAGCACATGGCTTTTTCAAGGTGGTGGTGGTGGTGGTTTGGGGCTTTGGTTTTGGTTTTTCCTCTGAGGGTGCCCGTTTCCTTGCATTTTAAAATGAAGGAGTAAGACAACCTCAGCAGCATTCCGATGTTTCCCCCGGGGGAGCCTGCAGGTGGCCATTCGCCGAGCTCCCCTGCCCGGGTCAGCTGGGCAAGCTCTGCCTTATCTGCTCGGTGGATTGGTGTTGAACACAGAACAGAGTGTTTTTTCCCCCGAAACACTGGGCCTTCTGTGCGGCCACTCCCCGGCTGGCGGGCGCGCACTGGTCAGTGCAGTTCTCCGGGGGCGCCGGAGGGGCACACTGGTGGGAGCGTAAGAGAAGGGAGAAGGGAGAAGATGGACGGAGGGAAAAGTGGGACATGGCAGGAAGAATGTGGGGAACGGAAGGACAAGCACTGACTCAGCTGGCCGGTGTGGGATGTTGCTCATACGTGTCTCTGTGTGTTTAGGAGGATGCAGAGCCCGTCATTGCTAAAGCCTCTTCCACAAGTACACCTGGTAAGCTCACCCTTCCCACGCATCCTCTCTCGCATTCGCACTCGCTCTCGCTCGCCGTGCCCTCCATTTCCCCAGGGCTGGGTCAGGTGACCGCGTGGCCACGAAGGTCAGGTGACCGCGTGGCCACGAATGTCTGTTCACCCTGGAGGTCACGACCTCTGCTCCCCTCCGCCCTCTGCAGTGCCCCACGTTTTTCTCTGATGATTCTTTCTTTGAAAAAATCATAGTTTTTACACTTTTTTTTTTTAATATAAATTTTTTTTATTGATTTTTTTACAGAGAGGAAGGGAGAGGGGTAGAGAGTTAGAAACATGGATGAGAGAGAATCATTGATCCACTGCCTCCTGCACACCCCCAACTGGGGATGTGCCCGCAACCAAGGTACATGCCCTTGACCGGAATCCAACCTGGGACCCTTGAGTCTGCAGGCCGACGCTCTGTCCACTGAGCCACACCGGTTTCGGCAGGGAAGTGTTTTTTGATCGCTGGTTCTTAAAGATTGAGCATGTTAGCCAGCATTAATTGTCATTTCAAAAAAACATTCTCAAATTGGGAAGGTGGTCATTTGAACCGTTCATTGGTCTCCTGGTGATAATCGAGGAAATAAAACTTTTTATTTGTAAGGCGGGGTGAGGAGGAGTTAAAAACCTTTGGGAAACATTCTTGAATTCAGTGAAATTTTTTAAAAAAAATATTTTTTTTTTATTGATTTCACAGAGGAAGGGAGAGAGAAACATCAATGATGAGAGAGAATCTTTGGCTGCCTCCTGCATGCCCCCTACTGGGGATCAAGAGCAGAACTGGGGCACGTGCCCTTGGCTGGAATGGAACCCGGGACCTTTCAGTCCTCAATCTGACTCTCTGTCCACTGAGCCGAGCCAGCTAGGGCATTACACTCTTTCTTGATTTAAAATACTTTATGCTGTTTTTTTCTCATTAAAAATATATTTCGATGATCCTGTCTTTATCAGAGAAAGTTCTTCCCAGCCGGTGTGTATAGAATGATAGTATTTTACATATATCAGTCTAAGTATATCCTCGACAAACTCGTCATCCTTGCTCCTCCTCCTCATGTTAAGGTCTGACACGGTTCCAATCGGAACCCTGACAGATTTTGACCGCAGTTCAGCATTAAAACGAAAAGTTTCCTGTTCACCTAGATTAATACTCCCCTCACCCGTATGACGGTATTTAGGATTGTAAGACTTGCTTCGCAATAACCCTGGGAGAGTGTCGGGTATTGAATACTTTCTCTTCTTTCTTTTTTAAAGAACCAACAAGGAAACCTTGGGAGAGAACCAATACCATGAACGGCAGCAAGTCCCCCGTGATTTCCAGGTATGAGCGTTTCCTGCTTTTAGTTTGCGTTTTTTATCTAAGAAGAAATGGATGTCTCCATTTTTATTGCAGAAAAAAAAAAAAATGGGATGGTAGGTCTGACATTGTACAGTGGAGCCAGTCTGAATTCTGCGTAGCCAGGCTGTCTGAAATGTCAGAGAGCTTTTATTCCTCCCATTTTTAAAAATTTTTTTATTTGGAAACATTCAAAACGACAGAAAAGCTGAAAGAACAGTGAACACCCATTTACCCATCCCCTAAATACACTGTTGTTTATTATTTTTTAGATGATTTTTAAAAAAATGTATTTCTTATTGATTTTTTACAGAGGAAGGGGTAGAGATAGAGAGCTCGAAACATCCATGAGAGAGAGGTACATGGATCAGCTGCCTCCTACACACCCCCTACCGGGGATGTGCCCGCAACCAAGGCACATGCTCTTGACCGGAATCGAACCTGGGGGACCTTTGAGTCCGCAGGCCGGCGCTCTATCCACTGAGCCACCCCGGTCTCGGCGCGGTGTAGAATTTATTAAATGGATTCACGCGAGAGCGAGACGTTTGTTTTTACATTTCCCCTCTGGGCAGCTCAGTGGGAGGGAAAGGAGAGGACAGGGTGGCGTCCCGTGGGTGGGCCTCCTGATGGACGCGACACACACGTCCCGGGGTGACCTGCCTCGCGCCCCGAGAAGGCCGCCTCCTCTTGGCACCTGTCCCCCCGCCTTCCTGACAGATGACAGAAGGCCGAGCAAAGGGCACAGGGCGTCTGCTTCTGTCCTGATCAGCCCCCTGCTTTGCCCACGAACGCCTCCCCACAATGCCGTGAGCAGCGGCCTGGAACCCGGTGCCGGGCCGGCGGGTGTGCAGGGGCGTGTGGACACGCCGGCGTGTGGCTGACCTGCCCCGGGCCTTTCGTTTGTGCAGACCAAAATCCGCACCCTCGTCCCAGCCCAGTGCCAACGGAGTCCAGACCGAGGGGATAGACTACGACCGGCTGAAGCAGGTGGGGCCCGGGCAGCCGGCTTCCTGTGGCACCGCTGCTTTTTTTAAAGCTGTGTGTGTGTGTGTGTGTGTGTGTGTGTGTGTGTGTCTGCGTGTGTGCCTGCCCGTGGTGTGTGTGTGTGTGTGTTTGACAGATGGTGAATGCGCTCAAAAAGCATGCAGCGTTCAGGTATTTTCTGCACATGGAGCCGTGGCGTGGGCACGCTTGGCGCCTTGCCGATCCTTGTGTTTTGGTGCCGGGGGTTTGCATCAAGTGTCCGTAGGGGTGAGGGGGCGGGCGGGGGGGGGGGAGGCTGGGGGGGAGGGCATCGCTATGACAGGGACATGGCATGGGGTCACATACACACCCTAACGTGTGTAGAAGCCACATTAAGTCAGTACAGAGAAACAGAGGACATTTCAAGATCAAGATTTCAATGTGCAATCAGGATTTTAAAATTACTGCCCTCGCCGGTGTGGCTGAGTGGGTAGGGTGTTGGTCTGTGGCCTGAAGGGTCCCAGGTTCGATTCTGATCAAGGGCACATGCCCGGGTTGTGGGCTTGATCCCCAGTGTGGGGAGAGGGGGCGTGCAGGAAGCAGCCAATCAATGATTCTCATCATTGATATTTCTCTGGCTCATTCTCTTCTCTCTCTCTCTCTCTCTCTCTCGACATACATACATACACACACACACACACACACACACACACACACACACACACACATATATCTCCCCCCTCCCTTCCTCTCTCAAATCAATAAAAATAATATTTAAAAAAACACACATAAAACTGCTAGTGAGTTACTCTACATTATGTTCTTGCTACTACATCTTTGAAATCTAGTGTCTGTTTTACGTTTAGAGAGCATCCCGTTTCAGACCAGCCCCTTCAGGAGCTGGGAGGCTCCTCCACACCTCGGGGTGCCCCGCCCCCAGACCCTCCCTCCCCGGAGGCTAGACTGAACGCCCCGTCCTTTCTAGAGATGGTCTGAGTCAGATCCGTCACGGGCGACGGAGGGATTATTTTTGTTCTAGAAAGCCCTCTGTCTCATTTCTTGCAAGGCGGGCATAAGCAGGAAGGTTGGGCAAGGGAGACCATTCAGACAGAACGTCCTTGAGGCTGATCTGCCAGCACCGGACTGCACGTCCTTCAGATCTTAGGTGCGCAAGGATCGTCTGGGCACTAACTCACTCTCTGTCTCCCTGGTGCGTTTCTCTGCCGTTTCAGGACATTTTAGATGAAATGAGGAAAGAATTAACCAAGCTAAAAGAGGAGCTCATTGATGGTGAGTGTCTAAACACGTCCCTTACGCCTACGGGGCCCCATTCAAGAACAGCGCGCTTTAAGAGAATGCAAAGAAATCAATAAAATTTAAAAAAAAATAAAAATTTTAAAAAAGAGAGAGAGAGAATGCAAAGACAGAAACAGGCCTGTTGGTTACTTGAGGGCATCGCACAACGGTTCCTTTTGCGTGGTGAGTCTGTCTCTGGGTTGCCCTGCTGACCCGTCCTGCCCCCTTGATGCTGAGCCTACAGAACAAGTGCCTTCCTCCGGCCCCTGAAAGGGAGGGAATCAGTCCTTACCCATCTGTGGACATGAGTATCATCTTTGTACTAAGCAAGGACAACGACCCCTGCCACGAAGCATGCTCGATCCGTGTGTCCTTCCATTCCTGGGAGGTCGAGCGCCGACGTTGACCTTTCTTAAGATCGAGCCACTTGCTGAAACCGGTTTGGCTCAGTGGTAAAGTGTCGGCCTGAGGACTGAAAGGTCCCAGGTTCGATTCCAGTCAAGGGCATGTACCTTGGTTGTGGGCACATCCCCGGTAGGGGGTGTGCAAGAGGCAGCTGGTCGATGTTTCTCTCTCATCGATGTTTCTAGCTTTCTATCCCTCTCTCCTCCTCTCTGTAAAAACTCAGTAAAATATATTTAAAAAAAAAAAAAAGATCGAGCCACTTGTTGTTGTTTTTTTACCGTACTCTTTCGTTTATGCTGGATCCTTTTTCTTTCCCTACTCAGCAATCAGGCAGGAACTGAGCAAGTCCCACACCGCGTAGAGACGCAGCCCGAGGAGAGGAGAGGACTTCCATCCGGAGGAGGGACACGCACCACCCACAGCAGCTGCTGACCACACACCCTTCCTCCGGGAGAAGAAGGAGGCGGAGACGGTCGGAAGGGAAGGGAAGGGGGAAAAAAACCCCAAATCTACTCTGGACGCCTCCAGACACGTCCCTCCGGCGCCACGCTGTTCCTCTCCCCGTGTGCTGCTTCACTCTGACTCCTTCGACGGGACGGACGGACTGGCCTGGGCGCTCCCGTGGCCATCGGCACAGAAAACGCAAAGCCCCCGGCGGCAGGCGGCAGGCAGCGGGCGGGGTCGCCACGCAGGGAGCTAGTTTCCATGTCAGGATCGGATCTCGCATTCCCACAACCCACGGCTACCACATCAAGAGCGAGGCTTGCGGAGTTGTTTGTTTTTTTTTTTTTTTCTTTTTTTTTTTTTGCTCAGAGTTTCTGATGAAGAACCCAGCAGGTCATGCTATTGTACGTGTTTTCTCTCAGGTTCGTCTTCCCATCATCCTAGCCCTCCCACCCCCCTCGAATGTCGGGGAGTGAGCCCCGTGGAGGGAATCACCCTCCGGCGTCGGGGGCAGACCGAAACGGGGTGGATGTTTCCACGAAAGCGCCCTGCAAACCACTCATCCCGGCCGGAGGAATGTTCTAGAATGATGGGAAGCCTCTCTCGAGCTAGCCTTCACGCAGGTTTGTAGATTTCGACAGAAACCACACGATTCGCCCAGAAATTGGAAAGACGCAGATGCCTTCTTCAATCGTTAACGATGCTTTACCAAATCGATGAACGCAGCGGTCATGTGTATCACGACGTATCGGAGATCTCCCGTAGGGTTTTCGACCGCCTTTTGTAGACTGACTGCTGCATGCGGACGTTTTTATAAAGTCCCGACAAGCCACCACCCGATGAGCTTTTTCTAAAAAAAAAACAAACACAAAAAACCAACAAAACACGGCCCCAGACACGAATGCATGCCACTCTTCTGTGCCCTGGCCTTTTCAAGGCCTCGTTGCAGGGGGGGAAAATCCATTTTGTAGCATCTAGGGGGGGAGGGAGAGAGGGAGGGAGGGAGGGAAGGAATAATTTTTTAATTTAAAGTTCATCTCTGCGCTGTCCCTTTTTTTTTTTTTTTTTTTTTTTTTTCCCCTCTCGATTCCCTGCATGACAAACAACGAGGACTGTTTTATGACTTTCATGGGTAAATATGTCACAGAATCACGTCCTCAGCCTTCTCCATCACGTCTGTCTCGCCGGGCTTCCGTCACGTCCATGGCCTGAACCACGAGGATGCGCGGACACGCCCCAGACCGCGAACCTGCCCTGGGGATCATGGGATGGATCTTGATCATTGAATGACAAGCAATGACTCGCAGTGATGGGGGTCATTGGGTGAAGGGCAGCCACCGAGGAGCTGGGCCTAGTTTTCTTTTCATGAGTGAGACTCGGGTGGTGGGAACCTCGAGGAATGAGCTCCTCTGCTTCCCAGCTGTGTGTTAGGGCATGCACGTGCGTGTTAGTGCGTGTGCACGCACACGTGTTCGGGCACACATGCGTGCGTGAGGGCGCGCACACGCGTGTGGCTGCAATCCACTCTTGTTTTCTTTGGACGTTTGGAAGATGAAAATAGGGGAGACCTCCTACCTGTTGCAAGGATAGATTTTTATTATTATTTTTTTTTTTTACACATGTAGGAAATCAACCATTGTCTAGGCTCTTTGTCTTGATCCACGCTTGAGTCACGTGCCATATTTGCTTTGGAGTCTTTGGTTACCACTGACGTGTCGGAGACATGACCCACCCGCGTTCTGGAGCTCATGCATCTCAGTCCACACATCGCTGGCTGGATGCTGCCGGTTTACAGCGTCCTCACTGCTGAATGAGGGATTTTTTTTTTTTCCTCCTTATTGAAATAGTTTTGTTTTCTGTACAGACTTCCTTTTTTTAGGTTAACCTGTGATCGATGCGCTACCCCAGTCCGAGGGCACCGTTCTTTTATCCTGTCGGCTCTTCCTTGTCCTACGTGCGTAGTCGAGACATTCAGGATGCGAGAAGCTTATTACCCAGGACTGTTTTTCTTAAAGCAGCAGGAGGCGTTTTCCTCTCTTATTATTGTGCTTTTCGGTTATGTAAACCAACGTCAGCTCAGTCTAGACGTTGATGTCCCCTGTCAACCTGGTCAGAGGTAACTTCCGGTTCTGACGGTTTACGTTAACTAGCCTGCAGTAGGGTACGTGTGGGTGCGTGTGGTCCAAAGGAAGATAAAGAGACTCCAAGACGATGCTAGACCTGAGAAGGAAGCTGGTGTATGCACTCATACGCCCTGTGCCTTGGTGTGCCATGAGCACGATGTGTGTGTAAACGCGACAGAAAGAACCAGTGTTGGGCCATGTTTTACGTTTCCCATCATGCTGCGTTCTCCCAGCTGGCGTCCTCTCCAAGAAGGGTGATGGGAGTCCCCGGACACGGCTGCCATCCCCCGTGACAGGGGTCATGGTCATGGTCATGGTCAGGGGCGTCTGTGATGGCCCCGGGATTTGGAAACTGGGTTCTTTTTTTCTGATCCGCACACAGCCGGAGCCACGTTATCCCAAAGGTCCTCCATGCTCGCTCGCTCTCTTTTTTTAAAAAAAAAAAATACATTTTTATTGATTTTTACAGAGGAAGGGAGAGGGATAGAGAGTTAGAAACATCAGTGAGAGAGAATCATCGATCAGCTGCCTCTTGCACACACCCCCTACTGGGGTCGTGCCCGCAACCAAGGTCCATGCCCTTGACCGGAATCGAACCCGGGACCTTTCAGTCCGCAGGCCGACGCTCTATCCACGGAGCCACCCCGGTTTCGGCCCTCTGTGCTCTTGTCACATCGGATGTCTTAAGCAGTTTCAGGGGGGTCCCCTTCTCCCCGCAGGAGGGGGGGGGCCTGCCTTCCTCAACACTGTGATCTGGTCCGTGCACGCCTGCCCGCGACACTCTGTGGACGGCGAGCCAACTGAATGTACACGCCCCTCAGTGCTGGTGCTGAAATCTCTGCAGAACAGCCGCCCCGGTTCCAAAGTCCGTTCTCCGGAAATTTGCAAGCATCACGTTACGTGTGTCCATCCGGACCGAAGATGCAACACGGACGAATGTCGGCGTCTCATGCTTTTTTTTTTTTTCTTCGGTGTTGTGCTTCCTCTCGCGTGCCCGGCTCTCTGCTGTTTTTGATCATGAATGTGTCCATTCACGTTTCCCACACCCTAACTTTGTGCGATTGAAATAAAGTTGCAGTCTATATACGTGTTGCTCGCCTGTGACCCTTAGGTTCCCCCGGAAAGGGGTCTCTGTTAGTTCTAAAGTTTCCTCGAATGTGGAAAATCGCTTTTCGGAGTCCTGGGCTGTGTACACCTCACGTCCCTGCTCTTGCAAGACGTCATAAAAGTCATCCATACCAAGTCATGATGTAGTTCAATCTGCCCCCTACCTAGTTGGCAGGGCAGAGGGTGTTGTGCAGAGGGAAGGCGGGTGGTGTGTCTCCTTTTTGTTTGAAATGATGAAGTGTTAGCTGTTCCCTCGTTGTGCTTATTTTCTGACAGCCCCTCTGAACACGGAGTTCTTACCCTTCGGGTCAAGAGAATGTCCATGTGTAATTTCACTCCAATGATGTCCTACCACGTGGTCGGATACTTAAACTCTGGGGATCGAGCCTGCAACCCGGGCATGTGCCGTTGACTGGAATCAAACCCAGGACCCTTCAGCCCGCAGGCCGACGCTCTATCCACTGAGCCAAACTGGCTAGGGCAAGAATTGAGTTGGTTTTTTTTTTTTTTTTTAATGTATATCTTTAAAATATATTTTTATTGATTTCAGAGAGGAAGGGAGAGATAAAAACACCAGTGGTGATAGAGAATCACGGATCGGCTGCCTCCTGCACGCCCCTACTGGGGATCGAGCCCGCCAATTGGATATGTGCCCTTGACCGGAATCGAACCTGGGACCTTTCATTCCGCAGGCTGACGCTCTATCCATTGAGTCAAACCAGCCGGGGCAAGAATGGAGATCCTCATATCTATATGTATAAAAGCCTAAGCCACCAGAGGACAGGTTGGTAGCTGTGACACACACTGACCACCAGGGGGCAGATGCTCCGTGCAGGAGCTGCCCGCCGGTGGTCAGTGCACTTCCATTGCAGGAGCGCTGCTCGGCTGACAGACGGGCGCCAGGCGCTGGGCTCATGGCCGGCGCGGGCACAGCTGCCACAGTGCAAGCCTCTCCTGCAGACACCCCCCCAGAGCAGGAACAGGGCGTCACCCAAGCCACGCCCGACTCCTTCCGTCCTGGCCGCCTGCCGCTTCGCACACTAATTCGTGCTTTGCGGGATCAGCTGGAGCCCGTCGAGCTGGTGGGTAAGGCCGGGCTGTGGCAGCGTCCACTGATCCCTGCAGGCCAGGCTGAGGGACCCCAGCTGTGCACGGATCCGTGCACCAGGCCTCTGGTATGTCTCATCCTGGAGACAGGAGACCTTCCCATTCAGAAGCCCAAAATGGATTACGAAAATAATAATACTCCCCGGCCTTGGTTGAACTGCTGACCTAGGAACCAGGGGGTCCCAGTTCGGTTCCGGTCAGGGCATGGGCCCAGGTTGCAGACAACACACTTTGTCCGCCCAGGGGAAAACGGGAGCATCATCCTCCAGGCTCGCACCCACCCACCTCCTTTTTTTTTGAATTTCTTTATTGATTAAGGTATCACATAGTTGTCCTCAACCCCCCATTCCAATCCCCTCCCCGCTCATGCCCCCAACCCCTTACCGTCCGTGACCCAGTGGACGACAGGGGGTGGGGGCATTAGGCTCCTATGGGTGCACATAAGTCCTTTGGTTGATCTCTCCCTTTTATCCCCACCCTCCCTCTGAGGTCCGACCGTCGGACCCAGGGCTCCTTGTCTCCGGGTCTGTTCTTGTTCGCCCGTCTGTGGTGTTCTCCGTTTCCCTTAGATGCGTGAGAT